TCAATTTAGCGTATGTTATGTAAAGATTTCCACATTTTGCTCCCACACAGAAACACAAAGTGTAAAATACTATTTGAGTACTAATTATAGCATTGATTAAACACCTAAGAGTAATTGTGTATTAGTTACAGAGCTCAACCAATAGTTTTAAGTAGAATATAAAATGCATCTTTTGTATTGTTGTGGCTTCCCCCCACCAACCTCCCTCCCTCCCGTGGCCCTCCCCTCACCCACTTCCTCTCCCATCCCGCCCTTCATCACGTTTCATTTTCAGTTACCTTCATATACCGAAGATCAATTTAGTATATACTAAGCAGGGATTTCAACAGGTTGCACTCACACAACTGAACCAGGTATAGGGTATTGTTCAACTAGTAGTGTTGTTTTTGAGTTTCATAGATAAACATATTAAGGACAGAGATCCTGCGTGGGGAGCATGAACCCAGTGACTCCCGTTGTTGATTTAACAATTGGCACTCTTATTTATGACGTCAGCAATCACCCGAGACTCTTGCTATGAGCTGTCTAGGCTATGGAAGCCCCTTGAGTTCACCAACTCTGAATTTGTTTAGTCAAGGCCATATCACAGTGGAGGTTCCTTCCTCCCTTCAGAGAAAGGCGCCTCTCTCCTTGATGGCCTGATCCTTCTGCAATTCAGCACTGTTTCTAAGCTTTGCAACACCAACATGTGGCTACACCGACAGTGGCTCACCAGCCTGCCAAACAGCATGGGCACTGGAGAGGGTCCTTCTCTTACAGCAAAACTGAGATGACAACGCCAGAGAAGCCAGTGGGGAGCGAGGGCCAGCGCTTCACCCCTAAAGATAAAGCAGGTGTGGGGAGGAGGAATGGTAAGCCTCAGGGTCTCAGGCTGCAATTATAGGAGCGAGGGTGAATGACAGCTAGTGATGTTAACTGGAAAAGGGCAATGCCCAAAATACACACATTCACAGGCAGCTAATTTGTGTAGGAACCGTGGGCCTCAGGACTTCATAAGGAGCCCCCTAAACACGCACATGCATGCGCACTCGTTAAGGCAGAATGGATGCAGAGATGTTGGAAGCCCAGGTTTCAGTGACAGCTGTCAGTCACCCTGAAGGGCAAGCCTAAGCAGAACTCCACAGCGACAGTAACACGCTATCAGAGGTCGATCAGGCCAGACTGTGGAGGACTAGGTCAGTTCCCACGGCCAGACCCACACGGGCAGCGCGGGCAGCCTCCCGCGTCTCCAGGTGACCTGCGAGCCCTGGTCTGAGTTTCCGGGGCCTCCATGCAATGATCCCAGCCTCCCCACTGAAGCTGCATCTCCTGCTGTCCAGAAGTCGCCCAAACTCCGAGTTTTATGGAAACCTCATGGCGGAGGCGTGGGCATCCGCGTGGACCATGAGCAGAGAGAAAGCGGGTGAGCCAATGCTGATGGATGGCAAGACCTGTGGGAGCCTTCCTGGCCCCTCTGTGCCACCCTCTCTCCCCAGAAACGGGCTCTGATCACCGACCCAGGCACGGCAGGTCAGAGAAGGGCAGGGGAAACTATATATATATAGCGTCTTTTTTGTTTCTATGACCTGTCTTGGAGAAGAGAAATGCTGGTTCCCAGGACCCGTTCTGGGAGCAAAAGGGAGGCAGGCAAGAAGATCAGAGACCCCCCCTCCCAGGGACTACGGCGCCCAGCATTCCAGCACAAGACTGTGGCTTTCCCTGCTCAGAAACTGTCCTAACGCTGCTTCAGGGACCCAGGACAAAAGCCAAATGCTTTCACCTTCTTGCTCTAGTCATTTAGGAAATAACAAGGGCCATGGGAGCTGTAAGCAGGAAAATCCTTCAACGGCTTCCTACAGCAGAGTGAAGTTCAAATTCTCACCTGCCACGCAAGCTCCCTTGAAAGCCACTCCTCCTGTTACTGGGCGCTTATTAATAAATTTGGAATACTAATAAGCCTGTGGTTTCTTGCCTAATATTCAGAGAAGAATTCTGAATACAGGCACAAGTGGGAGAGGCAGCATGATGAGTTTTAAGCTTTTTATTCAGTGAGAGAGTGCAGGCCCTACCTAAGAGGGAGGGAGATCTGGATTCAAACGGAGCATGGGAGCCAGCCATGTGGAGGAGTATGCAGGCCAGAAAGCCTGGGGCGGGTGGCCCAAAGGCCACGTGCCTCAGAGGTGCAGGGCAGCAAGGGTCTAATGGCAAAAGGGAAAAAGGGCCGGGTCCACCAATTCCGGGCCTATAATCCACTTCCAAAGGGGAGTGGTTAATTAGTCTGATTGGCAGGTGGGCACACAGGTGTGGCCAGGTAGGGGCATGAGGTCACACAGGGGCGTGGTGAAGGCGTGGTCTTCCAGCTCACAAACCTGATCAATTTTATCCTAAATGCCTGCCTACAACACTCCACTTCCTCCTAGTGTAAACCTTGAGCTCAGGTCAATCTGGATTTCAGGATGTTCCAACACACACACCCGTTTGTAGCCATGCCTACAAAGTTCTACTTGGATTGCAGAAGAGGGTAAAGTCACAAAGCCCGAGCGCCTGGCTGGAATCCTCCGCCTATGGCGCCGGCACCCTGGGTTCTAGTCCCAGTTGGGGAGCCGGATTCTGCCCCGGTTGCCCCTCTTCCAGTCCAGCTCTCTGCTGTGGCCTGGGAGTGCAGTGGAGGATGGCCCAAGTGCTTGGATTCTGCACCCACATGGGAGACCAGGATAAGCACCTGGCTCCTGGGGTGAACCAATGGAAGGAAGACCTCTCTCTCTCTCTCTCTCTCTCTCTCTCTCTGTCTAACCAGCACCCAACATGCCTTCCCCCTACCTCCCTGCCATGACCTCTGACAACCTCAGCCAAACATTTGTCTATATTTCCATTCTCTAGGGCTCCTCCTGGACACGGTGGTGGTTGGTGGGGAGAGGGAGAGAGTCAGCCTGCCGTCCCCCCCGGCCATAACAGCCCCACCTGAAGGGGAGTGCCGGAGCCGCAGGTGAACACACTCTGGCTGGCCTGTGGGAGGCGGACTGCCTGCTGCGCTCGAACCCCTCCGACAGGGGAGCTCAGAATGCCACGGCAGCCAGCTCTCCCCTCCATGTCCTCCCCAGGGGCAAGGAAAGGCAGCTCAGGTTCTGGTGAACAAGTGAGTTGAAGCTCCAGTCCTCCACAAGGCATGGCATCCCAGTCTCACTCATTCCACACTGCCAGGTCTTCTGGCAATAAACTGCCAACAAAGACAACATGGGCACTCACTTCTCTCGCGGGTCTCTCGCGAGTCTTAACTGCCTAAGTCAAGTACCCTTCCCACTGTGAGTATAAAGACGCTGGTGAAGCACTGCTTGTGAGAACAAAAATAAAATACGTCCATTGACAAGGGCTGCATAGATGATCAGAATTTAACACCGACTGCAAAACATACTCCATTTTCAGAGACATTCATATAGCAATCAAACAGCCCACAGTGGCTGTGAAAAAGTGTGTCTTAAGCCGAGAGAATTAAGGGGTAGTAATCGCATAGAACACCCCGCAGCTCACAGGGGCAAATGACACGAGATGAGGCCAAATGGGGGAAGCAGTCCTTGAGAAGTGGAACATCTGGCACCTCAGGGTGCCACAATGCGTGCTGTGTCACCTGTAATGATCTGCGCTTGAAAAGGAGTTCATCTCCTGCTAGGCGGTGGACAGATGGGTATGCTCTCAAATATGCTATATAAATTTTTCTTGGGGCCAGCATGTGGCACAGAGGGTTAAGCCACCGCCCATGAAGCTGGCATCCTGTACAGGTGCAGATGTGAGTCCTGGTTGCTCCACTTGTGATCCAGCTCCCTGCTAATGTGCCTGGGAAAGCAGCAGAAGATGGCCCAAGTGCTTGGGCCCCTGCCACTCACGCAAGAGACCTAGAAGCAGCTCCGAGACCTGCCTGTTGCAGCCATTTGGAGAGTGAACCAGCAGATGAATGATCTTTCTCTCTCACTCAAATCAATCAATCAATATTTTAAAAAATCAATTCCATACATAAAGGAGTCGTGGGAAACATTCACTGTCTATATGGTAGAAAAGACGGGAGCTCAGATGCCAGCAACATCTGCTATGGGCACATACACAGCTGATAAACATCTACCACCCACGGGATTGTCAGGAACACGGCTTTCCCTTTCTCAATACTATAAACTTTGGCATCCATAAGCCACAGGCTTGTCTAGACTGAAGCTAGGTCAAATTTACAAAAAAGATATTTTGTCATAGGTTTTACAAGTGTATGTGTGTTGGAGGTGGGAGAGGCGTTTCAACAGAATTCCTCTTTAAAAAGTCCTGCCGGCAACTTGGAAAATGGGCTTTTAAAAGCGCTTTTCTAAAGCCTGCAGTGATACAGAGCCCGCGGCTTGGAGTCAGACTAAAGGAACTCAGAATACACCAGCTGCGTGGCCCTGTTAGGTCAACTCACTCTGCAGGCGGCCTGTGTCCGCCTCGGTCAAGCGGGAGCCTTAACTAGTTTGAGCGGTGTTGTGAAGTCAGTACTGTGCCTGGTACCCAGCAGACACCTGATACATGATGCTCACTATTAAGACACGGCTCGGTTTGCGGGTCTTCGTGCGGGCCTTGAACCTCAGGCAACGGCCTTGCCACCCCGCGAGCTCCCCCTGGGATGTTCACAACTTTTCAGCTCAGCATTTGCGTCCAGGTTACAAAGACCAGGTGGTGGCCTCGAGTAGTTTACAATCAAAGTAACCTGAGCCTCAGAGAAATCCCTCCCACAGCCTCCGGGGTGTCCGTTTTTAAGCACTAGAGTGGCGGCGCTCTCCGTTCAGACTCGGGAATCCCAAATTGGAGGCCCAGGGAGCTTCCGCAGCGGCCGGGAGCCCGGTGGCCACAAGGTGCGTCCCGGGCCTCCTGCGCACTCGCGCCACAGGAGGCGGGCGGGCGCGCGTGCGCCGCACAAGGCCGCTGGGCTCCTCTCCCCGGCCGCGGTCAGGAAGCTCCCCGGGTCCCCGGGTGAGCCAGCAGGGTCCGGAGGCGATGGCACTTACCAGCACGAAGTGCACCAGGGCGTCGTAGCACAGCCAGGCCAGCGCCCCGCGGTCCGCCGGCCCCCGCCCGCGACCCAGGCGCAGGCCCAGCGTGCAGCCCGCCGCCAGCAGCGCGGCGCACAGCAGCAGCGAGTGGCTGGCCGCGGCTCCCAGCTCCCAGCCGGCGCCCATGCTTCCCGATCCTGATGCGGGCGCGGGGGCAAGCGCGAGCCCGGAGAGCCGGCCGGGGCGGGGCCAAGCGGCCGGGGCGGGGCCAGGCGGCCGGGGCGGGGCCAAGCAGCCGGGACGGGGCGGGGCCACCCCTCCCGCCAGCCTCGGGGCCCATTTGCACAGTGCAAAGGCTTTGCACAGTCCCACGGATGGAGGGAGGTTCCTAGGGTCGCGATCTTGCTGACAAACCGCTGGGCCGCCTCCACCAGATACATCTACGCCTTTTGATACAGTTCGATTTTTTTTTCTTTCAACAAGGTTCAATACTTGAGGCTACGAAGTCCAGGTGGTGGAAATTGTGTCAATAAACCGGGGAGCGATTTAGGGACAACAGGTTCAAATTTGAGCTTGTATGTCTTGCCAGAGGGATGCGAGCCAAGAGCATTTTTAGCCACCAGCAGACTTTTTAAAGCCTTGTGGTCGACTCTGACCATAGTTCCATTTTTCAAAAATCCAGTAGTGGGCAGGTAGCCCAGCAATGGACGCGGGAGCCCCAGATCACAGGGCCCGACCCGCTGGGGCTGCCATCCAGCTTCCAGCTAATGCACTCCTGAGCTGAGTCCCTGCCACCCACGTGGGAAACCTGGATAGAGTTCCTGCCCCCGGGAAGCTCACCCCCAGCGCTGCAGGCATTTGAGGAGGGAACCAGTGAATGAGAACTCGCTCTGCCTAATAAAAAAAAATAACTTTAAAAAGAATTTTCTTAACCCAAGGAAATGTGGGGGAGACGAGTAAGTCATATTGGCTAACCTACATCATTTTAACTTCACAATAACCCTATGAGGTCAGTGAAATAAGGCTGTCACAAAAAAGAAACGGAAGGATTCCACGTATACGACATATACAGAGTGGACAGATTCACAGAAACACAAAGCAGAGCGGTGGTTATCAGAGGCCAGGATGGGGAGAGGGGAGTTTAATGGCTAGGAATTTCAATTGTGCATGATGAAAGGGTTCTGGACCCGTGCAGTACTGAACACTGACTTGTACACTTAAAAACGGTTACAGCGGGGCTGGGGCTGTGCAGGTAAAGCCGCCGCCTGCTTGGCTCCAGAACCTGTTCCTGCTAATGGTCTGGGAGAAGTAAAGGAAGCAGCCCAGGTGCTTGGGCCCTGCACCCACGTGGGAGACCCGGAAGCAGTGTTTGGCTCCTGCGGCCTGGCCCAGCCCTGGCTGTTGTGGTCACCTTGGGAGTGAATAAGCAGATGGAGGCTCTCTCTGTGAAACTTTCAAAATAAATTTATTATATTTTTTGAAAGGCAGAGTTGGAGAGAGGGAGAGAGAGAGAGAAAGAGAGGTCTTGTCGCTCCCCCACTCACGGAGGAGCGACACTGGACGCTGTTTTCTTTCCTTCGCGGAGGAGCGGCACCAACGAGCTGAGCTCTCCGACAGACTCTCAGGGGGGCCCCCACATGTTGTCTCTCTCCACCTTTTATAGTCCTCTCCCACCAATCTGTGCTCCGCTGCCCACATGTTGTCTCTCTCCACCTTTTATAGTCCTCTCCCACCAATCTGTGCTCCGCTGCCCACGTGCTGAGCACACCGCTTTCCTCCAATCAGAGGTTGGATCGGGAATCAGCTAATTAACGAAGCAGCTGTGTAAGATTTGTTTACTCCCTCTCAGCGCCATATGGTGGGAGATCAGGCGCATAGAGTTAGTCTTAGTCCACAGTCTCAGTACTTATTTGTCTCCCGGGCGCCCCGCCATGTTGCCGGAGACAGACCCTGCTCCCCACAGGCCTTCCATTCGCTGGTCACACCCCACAGGGCCACATCGACCAGGGACTGGGCCAGGCCAAAGCCAGGAGTCAGGTGCTTCCTCTGGGTCTCTCAGGTGGGTGGCAGGGACCCAAGCATCTGGGTCATTGCCAACTGCTTTTCAAGGCGCATTAGCAGGGAGCTAGATCAGAAGTAGAGCAGCCGAACTCCATCTGTCATGGGAAGTGGCTTAACCAGTTACGCCAAACCACCTCCCCAGTAAATAAATTTTCAAAAAAAGAATGGTTAACAATGGTAAATTTTATGTGTATCTTACAATTGGGAAAAAAATTGCTGGTACCTGTCCTTCCTCCTAGGCACTACCTGTACTATTCTTATATAGCCATTCACAGCAATGAAATTGTCTACATATTTATTTAAGTCTTGCCACTAGCAAGTAAGCTCCACAAGCCAGGGGTTGTCACTGGATGTCACTGGCTTGTTTCCTGCTGCATCCCTGGCACCTATTAGAGTGTGGTTTATACTAATTACCCCATTACATAACTGCATAATGGAGGAGTATGGCCAGTCCTGCCACCCGTGCTTTGTTCTCTCCCAGAGCTTGCAATTCTCTTGTCTTAGCGATACTTAACATAACTCATTTCTCAGCTGGGTGGTCCCCATATCCTCCCTTAGCAACTACTCTGTTCTCCTGCCCTTCAGGGCAAAAAGCAACCTAATGAAAACAAACACAACTGATTAAATCCACTGTCTTCATATTCTGCCCCTGCTCCTTGAACCTTCCCAGCTTCTGTCTTCATTTCCGCATGGGTTCAGTTCTCAGTATCGGTGACTTAGCCATCAGAAGCCCAGGGGTCATTTCCTGTCCTCTGACTGACCACTGGGTACTGAAACCTGCCTTCTGAGAACACACAGGGTTGGTTCTCTTCTACTTTCCTAGCCATCCCGTTTCCTTCGCAAGCTGCCGACTGAATGCTGGAGCTCCCTAAGTCTGGCACCCAGCTCTCACTGCTTTGTGACCACCAAACATGCAGACTACCTAAACTGCTATTCTGGTCCTCTCCTCCGAAATGCAAACCAGTATTCCCAACTGCCCCATTTGTGCTCTGGATGCCTCCAGGCAACCCTGCTGAGCTCAGTCCCTCCTACCCCACTCTGATTCTTGGCTTCCCTCTCTCAGTACTCCCACTCATGGCAGTCCAGAAAGGTGAAAATCATCCCACTTCCCTCCCCACCAAGCTGCGGTCTAAGGCTTCACCAGCTGCTATTTTAGTGGCTAAGCATCTCCTGCTCCCATGGGCTTTGCGGACCAGAGTCTGCCTGTGGGGATCACACCAAGGTGACTAGGGCCCTTTACTTGCTAAGCCTTCCTGTCCTTGCCTTCCCAGCTAGTGATCCTAACATTCTGCCATCTTTCTAGCTTAATGATGGTTTTCCTTTGGTCTTAAAACATCAGAATCCTTTATATGATCTACTCAGCCTTTCTGGCCCTCCTCTGCCCCTAGCTAATCGCCTGCATTGTATCTTCAATCTAGATATACTTGATTCCTTTCACTTCCTTGAAGGCCCATGGTGCTTCCACAGGGCCCTTGCACATAAATCTTCCTGCTACCAGATTTTGCAGTCTGTCTACTGAATTCCTGATTTTCACCAGTTGGCTGTGTGACTTCGGGGAAAACTTCCGCCTGATGACAGAACCTTCTACACGGAATTGTCAAGAGGATTGAGTTGACGCTCTCAAAAGTGCCTGGCACTTAGTGAGGGTTCACCATCAGCCTGATTGTTCCTTTCCTAACTAGGCCAATTCCATTCAATACTTGGTATGACTGTATACTTCATTTTTTAAAAAAATATTTATTTTGGAAGTCAAAATTACAGAGAGGGAGAGAGAGAAAGAGAGGAACAGACAGATCTTCCATCTGCTAGTTCACTCCCCAGATGACCAGTGCTGGGCTAGGTGGAAGCCAGAGTCAGGAGCTTCAGTGGGGTGTCCCACGTGGGTGGCAGGGGTCCAAACACTTGGGTCATCTTCTGCTGCTTTTCCCAGGCCATTAACAGAGAGCTGGATCATCAGTGGAACAGTTAGGACACAAACTCATGCCCACCTGGGATGCCAATGTTGCAGATGGCGGCTTTACCTGCTACACAACATTGGCCCCTACCTCTGTTTTCTAACACTTGTTATTCCTGTGATCCTTTTGAAATATACTATCCCCTCACACAATACTCGGCATGGAATACAGTGCTCAGTATCTGAATGTTTCTCAAAACTGAGTCAAAGTTTTTATTTAGTAAGACTGAGACATAGAAAGGCTACAGACAACAGTCTAATCTTATTAAGAGGAAAACTGTTGAAACCAGTAACATGAGATCTCTTAAGAATTTGTATTTAGATTTGAAAAAGGGTAGATGCCTAAGCACTGGGTCAAAGAGGGCTGATGACAAAGTCAAGGCTGTAAGACCACAAATTTAATTATGATGAAGGTGGAAGTACTCGCTCCCACATTAATAGAATTGTTTGGGGCCGGGCACCGTGGCGCTCTAGGTTAATCCTCCACCTGCGGTGCCGGCCTCCCATATGGGCGACGGTTCTAGTCCCGGTTGCTCCTCTTCCAGTCCAGCTCTCTGCTGTGGCCCGGGAGTGCAGTGGAGGATGGCCCAAGTGCTTGGGCCCTGTACCTGCATGGGAGACTAGGAGGAAGCACCTGGCTCCTGGTTTCAGATTGGAGTAGCTCTGGCCGTTGCGGCCATTTGGGGAGTGAACCAACGGAAGGAAGACCTTTCTCTGTCTCCCTCTCTCACTGTCTATAACTCTGTCAAATAAAAAAAAAAAAAAATTAAGTGTTCAGATAATGGGATGTTCCCATTCAATTGGACCTGGAAACTAGCCACATCACACTCAATTGCTGGGTTCCTCGGAATACATCAAGCCGACAGGGGCAACCAGGTCCAGCAACTTTGCAATCAAGATGGTTCTTCTGCCATATGGGATACTTTTTTTTTTTTTTAATATCTATTTATTTATTTGAAAGGCAGTTACAGAGGCAGAGGCAGAGAAAGAGAGATCTTCCATCAGCTGGTTCACTCCCCAAGTGGCCGCAATGGCCAGAGCTGGGCCAATCTGAAGACAGGAGCCAGGAGCTTCTTCCAGGTCTCCCACCTAGAGTGGGAGTGCAGGGGTGCAGGGGCCCAAGAGTTTGGGCCATCTTCCACTGCTTTCCCAGGCTACAGCAGAGCTGGATTGGAAGTGAAGCACCTGGGACTTGAACCGGTACCCAAATGGGATGCTGGAACTACAGGTGGCGGCTTTACGTGCTACACCACAGCACCGGTTCCCCTATCTGGGAACTTTTTCAACCAAAAATACTTAATTTATAATGATAGCCATTTAAGGGAGGGGACTTCTGTTCACACTGAGAACTCTGCAGCAACTGAAACCAGCTACAAAGTAGAGCTAACTCCCTTGCAGTGAGCACCTCATATGCTTAACTTTCTTTCCTATTCCATGACTGAAAAAAATCTGATTTTATCTTTAAAACATTTGAAAGCATGCATTTACTCTGTAACCCTTAGGCTTATATTGTTATATTGGCATAAAGCTGTTTACTTACCACCTAGTACAACTGCTGCCGCATGAAGACGTTCACATACCCAAGGCCACGTGTGTCTCTGGATTCGACAGCTGACTCAAGGAGTTAGATGACAATGTTAGGGTGAGGAAGGGGGATGAGGAAGCAGAAATTCCCTGCAGGGAACACTTCCTTTATAGCATGTCTCAGCCATATTTCCTCTGCTTTGAATCACTTCGTAAACCTGTACATCTTCTGATGGGGCCAATCTCACAATGCTTCAAAAAGTGATTTTCAAACTATGCTATGATTCTCTAGTCCAGTGTTCCCCAGCAAATGTAACGATCTTCAATTAAAAGTGTTTAAAAAGCGCCCTGCTATGGATCACTCAACACATCTGGGCAATGTTTCAAACAACCCTGTTTTTGTGCCATAGAACAAATTTTAAAAAGTAACGAGCTACTCCTTATTTCCATTTCTATCAGAAGTCCTCTGCAACAGACGACGCTCAGTACTACCTAGAGTCCCCGTGACTGAGGCCATGAGCTTAGGTCTGCCTGTAATTTTTCCTAAGCTCAGAATGAAAAGAACGCACATTTTTTGTCTCTCTTCATCTTATGCATCTGAGGAAATTCTAGGACTGTTCACACAACAACAAAAAGTCACGACTGGAGTGGGTACAGCAGGTGAAACTGTTGCTTGGAATCCTAGGTCCTGTATCTACTTGCCTTTGAGTCCTGGCTCCTCTGCTTCCAAACCAGCTTCCTACTTATGTGCCTGGGAAGGCAGAGAATTATGGCCAAAGTACTTGAGTCCCTCATGGGAGA